AAAAAAAAAACAAAAAAGTAGTGGAAAAAAAAAAAAAAGGAAAAAGTGGGTGGAAATAAATGAAAAGCACGTATTCCGTGAATACATTTTCTGCACATTTTAATTGTAAAACGTATTCACGGAATACGTTTTCCTTTATAAAAAAATTGTAAAAAACGTATTTAGTGAATACGTTTTTTTATTAAAATATACAGAAAACGTATTCACGGAATACGCGTTTTTTATGTTGGTCCACTATCCTCTTTTTTGTTGTTTTTTGTCCAGTTATTATTTTTTTATCAATAAATATATAAATTGCTCGAACAAACAGAGAGTTGTTAAACAAAAACGAATCACTTGTGAGTTTCAACTGGATTGAGCTCGAGCTCATTCAAAGTTGGTTTAATTAACAAGACGCTCTGCTAAAACTGTTAGAGCATCCACAATGCTTTGGGTCTAATTTTACATATGTGGCATATAAATAGACTTAAGTCCTAAATGATATGGACAAACCCAAGTAAAAAAAAACTCAAAAGTTATTCAATGCAAAAATAAAATACTAAGTCTAGCATACATGACAACCAATAAAAATGCTCTAATATATTTCATTTATTAAAAGTAAAATTAAATGAGGAATAAATGACGAATGTTTGGGTTTGCACTTGGGTCTAAAATAGACCCAAGTTTGGACTAGGTCTCTTTTTTTTATTGCCACATAAGCTAGACTAGATCCACTTTTAATTGCATGGGAAACATTTTTTTATAGACTAGGTCTATTTCCTACATTGCATGTAATTTTTTTCTAAGAGACCCAAAGCATTGTGGGTGCTCTTAAGACTTGGGAAAAAAAAAAGAAGAGATTTTTATGAAGTTTTCCATAGTTCGACTCAAGTTCAACTTGTTAATATTGATAATCAAGCCCAACTTGAGCTCGTTCATCGGCTCCTTTTTGAAAGACTTGAACTTGGCTCAACTCAGCTCGTTTACACTTAGTGATAGTGTCGCGCATCTAAGCACATGGTTCCACTTAACACTGGCAAACCCTAGTATGCAGTGACCTTATGGTAACACTTATTTAATACACAGGCAACCCCAGTGCCCTTATGGTAACACCTATTTAATGTTGATTAAAACAAATACAAATAAAATTGTATCTTGTTGTTTGGGTTGGGAATTAGAAAGGAACAAAAAAATTGCACTCTTTCAGTTTACACCTCTTGTAAAGTTATATTACATCCGACTCGACTCAAAAGCTCTGACCAAGGTAGAGGAAATTCCAAACTGAGTTGTTGCAAAAGAATTATTCCTTAACCCACGGTTCTTGTGCAGGTGTCCATTCGCACAGTTCTCCTTCTTTGAACCACAAAGCTGCAGAATAGATATAAACACATAATCAAACAAAATTTTCCAAACCCGGTCCCAAACACTTCACTTTTCATCACAAAACCATATTAAACAACTAAGTAGAAATTCCACAGTTGCACAGGAATAAGAATATCCCATTCGCTATACTGGACTTTCGAGTTCCGAGAGAATGGGAAAAAGGTAATTCTAATTTTGGCGCTTGCTCTCTCAGAAAGTGTCTCATGCATAAGTAGCAAGTATAAAAAAAAAAACAGTGGGATTCCAAATTTTTTTATCTACTTTCTTGTTGACTTGTTCTTTCTTGTTTCAAGACATGCAATAGCAAGATTATTCAAACTAAATGTTTAGATCCATCTATTCGTTTCTTTTACTGTGAGTTTAATACAGGTAGTACAGTAAAAGCATGTTCACATACAAATTCAGCAAATTTGAGCATTATACAAGATCATATTCGTGAGTCCAGAAGACACACAATAAAAAGGTTATACCTATTTCCCGTTTGCCATTTTCAGCACTGTCACTTCCATGAACCACATTCCTGCAAGGCAGTGGTTCACATAAAATCATGAGAAATCCATGTTTCGAGCGGTTAGAATTGCAACAGAAGACAAAAAAGTCCACATCTAAATTCAATTCAAAGCTTTTCTGAGAAATGCAAAGTTGTAGAATATAAGGGGATTGACCTTCCAGTATGAACAGCAAGATCTCCTCTAATTGTGCCGGGCTTCGCATCTAGAGGATTTGTAGCTCCAATCAATTTGCGTGCTGAGGCTACAATACCCACGCCCTCCCAGGCCTTGCAGTGAAAAAAAATTGAACCATAACACTCATCAATTCAAAACAACTTCAAAGACGAAAACATAATAACTCGAAAGAAAGATGACACAGTCAGTAACAGCTCCCAGTAGCATACCATACAAACAACAGGGCCAGAAGTAATGTAGTCGGTCAATTTGGGGAAGAATGGTCTTGACTGCAGATCCTTATAATGCTCCTGCAACCATCACCATTAAAAGACACTGAGAAACAACAGTAACATAACCACATAATTAACAAGATATCGCCAAAAACCGAATAAAGTATGCCGAAAAAAAAAGGGACCTCGGCTAGTTCTTTGGGGCATTGAAATAGCTTCAATCCAGTCAACTTAAAACCCTTCTTCTCAAACCTGGATATTATCTCCCCCACCTACCGCCACTTTCATAAAATTCATAAAAAAAAACACAAAAACAAAGCCATCACAATCAATTATAAGGTCACATAAAAAAGAAAATCTTACAAGACCACGCTGAACTCCATCTGGCTTAATCATGATATAAGTCTCTTCCACTTGCTCCTGCACAAGGAAGACGAACAAAAGCATGATAACGAAAAACGAAACAGAACCATAAAATTGACAAGATTCTGAATGAGAATCAAAGAAATCGATACCATTGAAGCAACTACGAGTGGAAGGAAGATGCGGGGCCTGTGGGGTTTGCGGGAGGCAAAGGGGCGAGACCGGGAATAGGTCGAGACATGGGACGGCGGTCGGAATGCGGGGAGCTGAGAGGTGCGCAAGTTAAGGCTTCGTGCGTAGGATAAGCGGGCATTTGCGGCAAGCGAAGAAGATGAAGAAGAATAGGGAGTGTGAGCAGCAGCAACACACAGAGCGTCCATTTGCCTCTCTCCCGGGCCCTAATCCTTCCGGATCCCGACCAACACTACACGAGTAGAAAAAGAGAACTCTATTGTTTAAATTTACTCATTTACCCCTGCACTGTAGGATAATTTAAAAATAATATATATTTTTTTTTTATTAATTTGACTAGTATAACACCCCGTGAATTACACGAGTGTTTGATAATTTTTTTTTCTTTAAATTAAAAATTAATGAGAAAAAATAATTAAAAATTTAAATAATTTTTATATATTATTATATGTTTTAGTAAGTGAGATATTATTGTTTAAAATCGTGAGATTTTGATAGGAAATATTAAACTCGAATTTTTTTTGTTTGTAACAATCTGTTGCACAAATTAGGAAACACCGTTTATTCTTTTTACATTTCTTTAATTTTTTTTTTTTGATATTTTGGTTAAATAATTTCAGATCGTATATTCTGGTATTAATTCAATGAATAAAATTATGTATATCTCATAAACATGGCTAGTAGTAAATCAATTATGTTTATCTCTTTAAAATATGCTTATCTTTTCAAACAAACCTTATAAAAACATTCTAAAATCATGTATATCCAATAAACATGGTTAGTAGTAAATCAATTATATTGATTTCTTTAAGATATGTTTATCTTTTCAAACAAACGTTATCCGTAGATAAAAAAGTGTTCAACAATATATATATATATAATATATATATATTACATTTTATTTTCATGATAATTTTAATGGCAGAAGACAATTTAAATACAAAAATACATTTTAAAAAACAAGTAGGTAATAAATGTTTCCGTTTGGATACTAGTAGGTGAGAAATTGGCCCACGAATTTGGGCCGTATTTTTCGTTTAAATTTTAATTTGACAAATTCATTTCTAAACCCAATATTTACCCTTTAGTAGACCATAAACAG